GGCACGTGCCAGTGGGTCACCCTGGATTTCCCCCGCACCGTCAAGGTCTCGCAGCTTCACATCCAGTTCCAGGGGGGATTCTCCAGCCGGCTGTGCACGCTGGAAGGTGAGGAGCTGGTTTGAGGGCACGGGGGTCCCTCTGCCTCGGTGTACCCCCACCTGGATCCCGCAGCTGTTTGCCGCGGGGCCCAGAGGTATTTGTTAGGTGTTCCCAAGACCCGAGAGGGGCTGAGGCCGCGGGCTGGAGCAGAGAGGGGTGAATAGCGAGGACCTGGGGCTCTCTGGGATGCTCTGGGTGCAGACGGGAACCTGGCCCAGCCCAGCCCTGCAGCAGAGCAGCGGGAATTTTTGGGCCAGCCACGGCCAGGGCAGCCCTTGGAGGCCCCCCCAGCACCTGAGCCTCGACGCAGCTGCCTCCACCTTCACCCTCCGCAGGCTGCAGAGCAGGCGAAGAACTGGTGAAAATATCGGACCTGTACCCCGAGGACATCAACGCCATGCAGATATCCTTTGCCGCGTTGCGGGCTGGGTGGAACGGTTTGGCAGATGGGTTCAGAGCCACCCGCGGCTGCAGAGGGGCAGGGGGGCGATGGCAGAGCTGCGATTGAAACGACAGACCTGTGGGTGCCTGTTGGCACTTTGCTACCGCTGTAGCTACTCAGAGCCGGAGCAAATCCGGACATCGCCAGCCGTGGTACGCCAGGACGCGAGCCCTACACGTGCCCCCTCGGAGCGGGTCTTCCGCAGTGTCGTGGCATCCTCCAGCCGATTTTTCTCCTTTACGGGCCCCGCACAGATTCCAGGTGGAGGAGACGGTGCTGGATAAGCTGAAGATCACCTTTGAGAACGGCACTGACTTCTTTGGGAGGATCGTGGTGTACCACCTCGGGGTGCTGGGGGAGAGGCTGTAGGGCAGCGACGAGGGACAGCGTGGGGGGCTGCTCCCCCATCGCCTGCGTTCCCCCGCGGGGGCTCTGCTGCGTAGGGGGAAACGGGACAGCAAACCCCGCCAGCGGGGATGTGCTGCCCCTGATTGCACCCCAAGGCGCTGAGAGGGAACCCCCGCCCCATGGGATGGCAGTGACAGAGGGACATTTGTGCAGAGGTCCACGTGCTGCACTCCCGAGCCTTTGGTGGGACACTGTAACCCACCAAATAAATGCTGTCCCTGCTCCTTCTCGGCTGTTCCTTGGGCAAGTGGTACCCTGACACCGAGCCCGCCGGGGTTTGCCACGGCCATGGCGGTGCGTGGCCTGGGCAGGAGAGAGGAGAGCAGGAGAGAAGCTGTCTCTCGCCTTTGCTAACCACCCCTGAACTTCTTTTTGCAGCCTCGTGGGGCTCCGGCTCAGGATCGCAGCATGCCGGCTGTCGGCCGGGGCTGTGCGGTGTTCCTGGCGGGCAGGGTGATGCTTCCTGCGGGGTTTTGCTCCTGCCTGTGGGTATTTCCCTGGGTGGGTATGGTGCTGCGTGCAGGGAGGGCTTGGCAAGTTTATGGGCGTAAGAGGGAGCTTCCCTCTTCAACGAGACAGCTCTGGAGAGGAATACCAGGGCACCGGTGGGGTGCAGGCCT